AACAACCATAATAAATTTGACCTCATCTCATAGTGTAGGTGTGGCTTATATAGTGCATACTAATCAAACTAAGACCTTGTTCCTGGAGCTGCCCTTGTGTACTGCAGTAGGACACTTGCATTTGGAGCTGATGCAGATTTGGCCAAGAATAGAAGAAAATTACCCCACTTTCCTTTAGGATGCAGTTGTCATTTTAGTTTCACCGTTGTATGCAAACAGTGTTGTACGTAGCAAATAGTCCCATAATGTATAGAGTTTTTTTTAAAGAAAAACACTTTTCCTTAAAAATTTCATTCAGTTTAATTTGTCAACAAAATGCAATCTGTGAACAGAAAGGAACACAAAGCAAAAGTTCCTAAGGGCTAAAAAAAATGAGCTGAAGAAAAATGGATGCAGGGAACATTATAAAACACAAATATAGTTCTTGTCAAAGAGAGATTAGGCAGGAACATAATCTTATACAGGTATGGGCCTGAAGGTAAAGAAGGAGCAAGGACGCTGAAAGAGGAGTAGCTAAACAAATTAATGTACAAGAGAAAACAATACAATAAATATATACAGGCAGTCCCCGGGTTACGTACAAGATAGGGACTGTAGGTTTGTTCTTAAGTTGAATCTGTATGTAAGTCGGAACTGGCATCAGCCGCTGCTGAAACTGATCAGTTTCAACAGCCGCTGAATCTGGACACCAGTTCCACTTACATACAGATTCAAGATAAGAACACCAGGCGTGAATCTGTATGTAAGTCAGAACTGGTGTCCAGATTCAGCCGCTGGTCAGTTTCAGCAGCGGCTAACTTGGGGGTGCCTGGGGTAGAGCAGCTCGGGTGCTGAGCTCTGACTGGAGGTGCTGGTACTGCTTCTGGAGGTGCCGGTACTGCATACCGGGCAGTACTGTCACAAAAAAGCACTGGTTCCTGGGTAAGTGGTTCTGTGATGTGTTGTGTGGCTACTGGTGAGGGGGAGGGGATAGGGCTGGCCTTACCATGAGGCAAACTAAGGCGGCCGCTCCAGGTGCCAGACTGTGTGTGGCGGGGTGCAACTAAGACCCAGAGAATTGAGACCTTTCAAAGTTTTGGCCCAAGCGAGGGAGCATGGGGGCATCATTTAAGCTCCCCGCCTCAGGTGCCAAAATTTTGTGGGCCGGTCCTGGGTGGGGAACTGTCTATAGGCAAGGACTGGACTATTTCCTAAGGCTCTGCAACATGGAACCAGACCTGCCCCTGGGGACTCTGCTGCGTCTCCTGG